GGTAAATGATCAAACCATTGTTATTTGAATGTTCTGCATGACATGATAAATAAACATGATATGTTTGTTTTATCTGAGGGGTTTATTCATGAAACAAGTTCAACAAGTCTCTTAGTGTGTCATGAAGGTGTGTCTCTATTTGTGTGGCTGCAATGGCACGGCAACTTATGACAAAGACAATCTGCAGTTAAGTTCAGACTGGAAATGGCACATATTTTCTTTTCAGAATCACCTCTAATTACTCTTTGGAATTTCTCTTGAAGAAATCCAGTTTATACGTAATAAATTATTGTGGTGCATTTTATTGGCACTGACAAACGAAAGCACGCAACAGGAATTTATACACAGTCATATGTGTTACAGTGCTGGAATTGCAGCTTATAGAAGACAGATTAGAAGACGGATCAGTTTATTTGTAGTGCAAATTACTTGCACTCTCATTTGGACAAAAACTAATATAATTTCCATATTACGCTCAGGTTGCAGCACAATACAGTTTTACCTTTATATTTTTATAGCCTTTTTAAAAATAAATCTCAATACTGTGTTTCTCTGACAAATTCTGACTGACATTGATCTATTTTGTGTGGAAAAAGTTAGGTATAGAAAAAGAAAATGAAGCAAAGACCATTGATAACCACTCTGCTTCTCTTTGACTGGTTTTGTTGAGTCAGCTAACCCAAAGAAAGTCTGGATATGCTGAACCTGAGCTCTGTAAATAAAGTTACAGATTGAACTACAATGTGTCTAAATATGTTTTCCTATTATTAAAGTCTTCTTTGCTGTCTCTTTACAACTTGTCACTTGTGAGAAATTTCTGCTCTTCTTTTTCTTGGCAGCCTTTAGTTTTTTGGCATCAATCTGACAAAATGAATATGAAATGACAAAAAATGAAAAGAAAATTATAAAGGCAAAATACTGGGCTTAAATGAGCTGAAAAGGTACAAGTTTAAAGGAAATGTTATACACCAAACAATAAATCGATTTACTCGGAAAATGAGTGGCAAAGATTATTATCGTTAGGTAAAAGCACATACATATTCTTAATGAAGCTAAGCATCATCTATTATAGCTTCAATTTTAATTATCTCTGGGATGTTAAAAGGTTTATTTAAAGTTTGCTAGCTCTGCCCTAACATAAGGTTTTGAAAAAATGTTTATTGTTAAAACTAAGATCTATAGCCCTTAGATTTAAATTAAGGACTCTTTGAAGTATCATCTCTCTCTTGCTTATATTGTGTCTCTTATTCTGATAATAGATTTCTTGGGCTCTTGTCCACTTTTAGGGAGTACTAGACAAAATCTATTGGCCCATTTATCAAACGAAATTTCAATCTAGGCAACCTTAATTTATTAATATAAAGATTTATAGAGAAACATTTTTATGTACACACACACTTGCTGATTACTTTATTAGGCAATTAAACTGCTTGGCAACAAGTACATTTGGAAACCACAACCAAGCCAATCTACTCAGCTTTAAACTGAGGAATGAGGAATTAAAGTGATTTACTTGACTCTCAACATGGCATGGCGGTTGGTGCCAGATGGGCTACTCTGAGTATTTCAGAAACTGTTCATCTGAAGGGATTTTCATGCACAATTATCTCTTGTATTTACAGAGAATGCCTCAAAAAAGAAAAAAAATATCAGCGAAAATGCCTTGTTTGAAGTCACATGTCAGAGAAAAATGGCCAGACTGCCTCAAGTTTATAGGAAAGAGACATTAACTTAAATACCCATTCATTAGAGCCAAAGTTTGCAAAAAGTGTCTCTGAACACACAAGATTTTAAATCTCGAAGCGCGCACACACGCACACACACAAGGAAAAATGTTTCCTGTTATGAATCTGAGAGAGCCAGAATTTGGCATACACAACATGAAAGCCTTCATATATCCTGCTTAGACTGAGGATATTGGACATTGGGCCCCTTAGCATCAGCACAGCCTACCTGAACGTTATTGCCAACCGTGCCCACTACGTTATGACCACACTGTACACATCTTGTTGTACACACAGTTGCTTCCAACAGCATGTCATAAAGCTCAAATCGTCTCAAACGGAATTCTTGAGCATGACAATGAACTCACTACAATTAAATGACCTCCACAGTCACCGGCTTTCAATCCAATAGAGCAATTTTGAAATGTGATGTGCAGCCGAAACATCTGCAGCAACTGCGTGATCCTATCATGTCAACACGGACTAAAATGTCCGAGGTATGTTTCCAGTAACTTGTTGAATCAATGCCGTGAAGAATAAAGACGGTTCTGAAGGGAAAGCGGAGTCCAAACCAGTATTGGCCAGTCATGTAGGTTTCTTAATTCCATACCTTACATTCTGTGGTCACTAAGGAAATAGCGGGTAGCGCCTCAAACACTTACTTTGTGAGCATCCCCAAGCTCAACACTAACTTAATGACCTCGGCGATGCACACTGCAGTTGTGGAGAAATAAAGTTCCTCTGTTGAAATGGTCCTGGTGTACCGCAGTGCCACTGTGTAGGTCGCTGCCACCAGTGTCATCACCGTGAGACAGTACACTTTGAAGATCACGCTCACATTTTCTGAGGAGAGAAAGGGGAAAAAATGTTAGCTACAGCTCGTAGCACAAAATGGTACGAAGCTACATTAGCGACCGCTTCAATAATTACTTTATGAGCAGAAACGACGCGGTTATGACAGCTTATCTGTAAACTGTTCGGTTTTGCATTTTAATGTTTTTCTACCTAATGTTTTTGTCGCTCTAACGGGGTCTTACAGCTAACATTAACCAGTTGTGCTAGCTTGTGTTAACAAGTAAACTCACCGTTGGCCATGGTGGCTCCGTTCATCTACCGTCCGAGTCAATGGAGAAGTAATAATGCCGCTTATGTTACATGTCATCAAAACAATGCGTATAGCAAGCATGCACTCAGTAGGAGAATGCCGCTCGCCCTGCAGCACGTGAAACCCGTTTTCTTTTATATTCCCAGCTGCTGTGTGTCGTCATTCGTTCCGCATTACCCAGAATGCAGCGTAAGTGGAGTTTACAAATGGTGCGTTTGTTTTCTACACATTGACGTCAAACTGTTAAACACAAACCATAACAACATTGCGCAATAGAATAAAGACAATTGCTCAATAAGGTAAAAATGATTGAAAAGAATGAGTATTATTAAAAAGAACATAAATAAATAAATAAAAGAGCATCACGTGACCCCCCTTATTGAGCAAGCGTTATTTTTCTTTTGTTTTTTTTATAGGTTTTTCAAGCTTCAGGATTAGTTCTTCCGGATGTACACTAAACGCTCTTCCTTGCCCTTTGTTCTTTATTCTGTCAAGATCCCCTAGAAGTGCCTAAAGATACAGTTTAAAAAATATTTATTTCCTGTTATGTGTAGACGTAACACTGGTTCATCTACTTGAATAGTTCATAGATCAGTGTTACAAACTTTGGAAAGCCTTTCAGAAAGCCTGGAGAACTATTGCTCAAGAGCACTTTAAAAATTATAAGACACATTGTGTTTCTTTGAAGCAAAATATTGGCAGTATAGTGAAACATATTTTGCTTTTTTGAAACATAATATTAAGAAATGAAGGGTAACTCGACACTTCCTGTAGTACTTTGGTGCCTTGGGCTTTCCATTACGACTGGTATGCAACCAAACAAGTATGTCTATATAAAGTTCAATATGTTACCTTATTTGAGCTATGAGACCAGTTTAGAATGCTTTCAAACCTAGAAATTTGAACAGTCTAATTTACAACAGTTTATATTAAACTATGTGTGTCCTTTGATTTAGTCGATGTCAAAACTGAGCTGATCGTCTACAAAGCAAAAAATAATCTAGGATTTTTCTGTTTTATAAATGCGGTGGCATAGGGGTTAACAGGTAACCAGTTTAGGAAAATATACTTTGGTCATGACAGTAAATATACTTCATTTTACTGTGTGGCAGATATAAATATACATTTATATACAATATCATTAACATTTGCCAAATAAGAATTTATAATGCACATCATTAAATTTGAGGAGGAGTCATTTCAAATAAGTATGTATAATTGTTTCCCCCTTTTTTTCAGATTGATTTCACTTATATCAGGTTAGCTTGTTTACGTTGACTTAGGAGAAAGTATTCAGTCACAAAGCATACCGAGAACTGCTTTCACTGGCCACAATTGTAATAAACACAAGGTCTAAGCCACTGGTAATGACAATATTTAATGATAAAATGATTGTTTAAAAAGGCAAATAAACTAAGCACATTAAAAAAAAAGAAAGAAGAGAAAACTAACCAGATTGTGATTATTTGGGCATATTAAGTAAATCTAGATATGCACACACAATAAAAAAGAGAATTAAATAACTGCATATTTGAAATCATTTATTGTTTTGCAAATAAACATATCACAAATCTGAAAAACTAAAACAAAATCATGCTTTGTTAAATAAAGGAAAATAAACTGGATAGATAAGTAGTGATGTAGTGAAATATTGGCATTTCTAACTCTGTAGAACATGTCATATCAACTTTACTGAATTCAGGTTTATTTATATTTATAGAGTCAAATAAGAGGTATGGAAAGGTAAAGACCCCACAATAATGTTTTTGTCATTTAATAGATAAAATAAACTAAGTGACAGGCTTAAATTGCTAACCTGTCTGAATGAAAATAACCTGAATTATAACATTTTATATCAACTAATAACTCTTTTATTAAAGGTAATTCTCTAGCACAGCTAAGCCCATAGGGTAATCTATACTTAATATGATCATTTCCAGCAAAGCATCACATTGAACACTTTGTAGAAAATGATTCTTTTGCAGTATAATGTTCAATAACTCACTCTTAAAGCAAATTAGACCCATTGACAGCCTCAGCTTTCAAGATTCACCGCATTATCTTTACACAGAAATCTGAGCCTCCTGTAAGGCTGCAGGAGCCACGTCTCTTCATCTGACAGCAGCCACCATCAGCTACACCTGCTCATCACATATTGGACATGAAGATGATTTTTAAATGGGAAGAAAAGCAACTTTATTTTCCCTTTGAGGAATAATCCCCATCAGAATTGAAAAAATATCCAACACCTTGTTGTTAGTTGTTCCCACAAACACCCAGCCTGTGATATTTTGATGTAGCTGTAGGGAGAAATGGAACACCATCAATGCAAGTCCATGTTCTGCTGCTGCTGCTGGAGGGAAAGCTTTGGTATCCACAGATAAATATAAATGAACTCAGGAATTGTCGGTCGGGACGTGCTCGAAGCCTTCGCTCTCCCTCACCAGCGCCCTCTCCAGGATGACGCGGCCCTCCTTGTAGCGCTGGCTCTCCTCTGTGGCGAATTCGTACATCCAACCGAGTTTGCTGTTGCAGTTCTTGCAGCTGACATCACGCACCATGTGCCTCCCCGTCAGCATGACTCTGTCCTGCACCTCGCTGTGCTGCAGATTCACAACCTGGAGAACACCAACCACACGTCACTGTCACTGTACCGCATAATTGCTTTTCTTATTCAACATGATTTATTCCAGGTAACTGGTTTCAGTAAATTAAAAAATATTAAAGTAGTGAAATTGGACTTTTATAGCAAAGCAAATATGAAAGAAAGAGATGAGCTGAAAGACAAAGTGAGAAAATTGTTGAAAAACAAGACAGTGATAATTTTATCTTGATTATAGTGTTTTGTTTGGAAGCCAGAATTGTAACTGAAACTACAGCTTGAATAATTGCACCAACTTTAAATCTCAAAGACAATCAACAAAGACAGATCCAATAACAGCAATTTTGGTTTGAAACTGTTATATGTATTTTGGGTTTTACCTTCATGCAAAACATTTCTGAAAGAAAATCGTCTGGACTATAATATTTATAGGTTTTGTTCACTCAAGCATAAAATATGTTTTTTTTGTTAATGGAAATAACATAAAAATGCCTTCTGTTAAGTAATGTACCACAGACTCTGTGCCTTAGCTAATCACAAACCAATTGTGCCTGCTTACATAGAGCTTTTCTACCCTAACACAGGACTCAAAGCACATTTTACTACAAGCCACATTCACCCATTCATATACAATTTCATACAGTGCTTTGTTCTAACTGTAACAAACACAACCAGTCCAATGCATGAATCATCAGCAATTAGGACAGGATAACATGCAGACTGGACGACCTGGGTTTGAACCTTCTGGCTGGTGGATGACCATCTACCTCCTGAGTCACAGCCACCCTCATTTAGGGGCTTAAGGGATCCAAAAGGAAGGAAACAAATATGGTGACTTTAAAGTTTCCTAATTTCAGTTAACCGCTATGTGCTTTGACAGACTTTAACTCTTCTAATACTTCTTAATATGAAAGTAATTATTTACATAGCTGCATTAAATATACTAAACAATCACTCTATATAAGTTAAAGTATTTTAACTAAATAACATCAATGTTGTCCAACACATGAGAAACTGATATACCTTGTTGAAGAGGAAAGCCCGGCCAGTGGCTCCGGTGAAGCGGGTGGAGATGAGCTCAGCTCGGTTGGTCAGGATGGTGTCACAGTTGGCACAAGAGAAGAGGCGAGTCCCACCGATGTGGTCCAAGAAGATACGCCCCATTTTGAAGCTCGGCCTTCATAGTGAAGAAAACAGCCCTGTTGGAGTATGCCTCTCACATCTTTCTTTAGATCGCTCTCACACATACAGTGGGTTTTAAAGTGATGAACAGTGTGAGACTCTTTGATTTTCTTTTCAAGTTTAATGTGCAAGAAACTGACAAAAAAGCCATGTCTCAAATTGGCCACAAATAACAGAAAATGTTTTTACTGTCTGAATGAACACTATCCTTTCAAATAAAAAAATAATTGAAATACTAACATCACAAAGAGATAAATCAGAGGGGTTTAAATATAAAAAGAAATCTTTATGTGCAAGAAAACTTCCTTTTTGTTGGAGTTGCCAGATAAATTTCAATTTGGTACTTTTATACATTAACAGCTGAGTCATTCCATCTGAAATCACAGTGGGCCTTTTGCTCACCCAACCCAGATTTATCGAAAAATGTCACAGTCCAATGACTGGACATAGATAATGATTGCTGTGGAATCAAAGGAGCTTGCAAAGAAAAGCGTCTGGACTTCTTTAAGTT